GGTCTATGCTCTTAAGTAGGAAGTCGACAGTTTAATTAAGCCGGATATTGTTATAAAAGAGAACACTATGCCAAGACGAGAACCACCACTTTAAAACTCCAACTTGCGCAATATTAAGCCAATAGCCTTCTCTTCGATCCAAAGGCGTCTAGGTCATGACACTCGCCACATAACCCCAGCTTCTCTTCGTCCTTTTACCGGAAATGTATAGCTTATCGGTTTCGCTGACTGCAAAAGGTTTAATGCTCTAGTCTAGGCGGAACTGGCCAATAGATTCGCAGTAACCGTCATAGTAAGAGAGAAGCATACTAACAACTAGGCAGTGAGAGGCAGAGGTATTAATGCATAGCTGAATACCGGTCAGGCGTCGCATACTGCACAAGGTATGTACCTAGATTTCATTGCTCTGCGTGTAGGGGCAAGGAGAGACAGATACAGGCATGCTTGGAATGTTGTCTTGGGTAGTGGTACCGCTGTTCTCTAGAGCAATAAAGTCTACGTTAAGAGTGCCACAGGCACTGGGCTGATTGTAGTAGACACGGGTCGGCTTTCGAGGCAAGACAGCAACGCATCGTAAATCAACACTCGCATGTCCGTATAGTCCGAATACAGCGTTGCGTGCTCGATTTGTAGTAAACTGTGGTAATTCATTAGCTTAGCCTAGCATAAGACAGGTGAAAAGAGATTGTACCATTAGCCCGAGGGTTTTAATCTTAAGTATCAAATGCCCTGCCTGCCTACAGATGTCAGTAATATATTTGCCCTCGCTAATGGGCATATATATCCAAAAGCAGATAGGGCTATCGATTTCCTTAAATAAACTTATATCGACTTGTTGGCCTTGCTTATGCGATAAGATACTAAATGTCCTGGTTCTATTAGTAGCTACAAAATACCTAAGAATATTAGGCGAATTGCAGTTAAAAAAGCGCATTTAGAAGCCATTTAAGCACTCTTTCAATGTCTCTAGCGTTAGGAGATCAAGTAGCAAGGGTGTACTGGAAACTGGAAGTTGCCAGACTGGTGACCCCTTTTGCAGACCTTCGATATCGCGAATTTTGAATCCCTGCACTTGCGTTAGCTTTAAATGATATACCAGGTATTTGACTACCGATATCAATCTTGAATACCATAGTGGAGGGGATATTACACTGAGGCAAGTGTTTCTACCACGCGCCTGGCACACTTGGAGGAGCACGACACCATTGTTCGACGTATTTAGGCGAGATAAAGAAAATTCGACGAATACCGAGATAATCCTCTGCTACAAACATGTCTTTGTTCGCGTTTCCGTTTTGTATGATGGGAGCTGACAATCGGATTGAAATTTCCGTTTTGGTTTTGTTTCGAGCCTCGTGTCCGAGGGCTTTGATATAGGGTCGGCCGTTAATTTTTACATACATCGCGTATACAGGTTGATTGAGATCGAGAGTAAGGTCTGTAGCATTGTCACTGTTGCATCCATTCACCTGCTCTTGTGCTGTGAAAGTAGCGCAATCTTACAAGAGAAGACCAGCGACCATGGCCTATAGTTTTGTAGGAAGCTTTCGAGGCCAGAGCTTTATTTGTTGAAGGTTATAAGTGAGAGATTGTTAGATATATTGAGTTCGTTGGCGCTCCTTAGTCAAAGGCAGAGGAAAAGCATAGCGTGTAGCTGCGAGAAACCCGGGCATTATTGGATAGAAGCGGGATTCATAGCAGCTAATATAGAAGCATACTATAGCTTTAGTACAAGATACACACTCATCAGCGAGGCACATATGCAGTATAATGTCAAGCTCATTATCGTAAAAGGTTATACACCAGTAGAACAAAAATTCGCAGGAAACTCCCTCATTACTAATATCTAAGAGATAATCAGTACGATAAGTTGAATAATAAAAAGAGAGTATACGGATTACGTACCTGCAACGATTGGCTCTCCATCTACCAGTAAGAACTGGCAAAGTCTACAGCGAGCTTGTATGATGCAGAAGTAAGGCGTTGCTGGATGTATAGCGTTGGCCATGGTTATTATGATCAGGAAGTAAATTTGGGGGAAACACGCGACTTGAGAGATAAGATTAGATCACGTTTTAGCGGAATGGCGATAAGGAATTTTTCCGCTCCAGTGATTGACCTTACTAAAGCTGGGCTTACTAGCTAGCTGTATTAGGAAATGTAACAGCTAATTGTAAGTCACTCGTAATATATCATAAAGTGCCGCGACAGCAATGTTAATATTAAATTAATAAAACTTAGTCTTTTAGAATCCCTAGACCCTGGAGTTATAGTTCAGAGCCAAGTTCAAATCAAATAATAGGGGCGACATTGAAAACCTAAGCTGCAATCGCCTACTGGAGCTAAAAGACCTTTGCAACAAAACTGAACATAATGGTCTAGGATCGTAGTGCGAACCTTCGGGCGGAGGTCACCTTAAATGGAATAAAGGACGTCAGCCCTCATTTACTATAGACAAATATGACAAAGCCATGACACAATCTGATCGGTGATACCATTATCCCTGGGCTACAGCTACTCGAGGCCGAAGTCAGCACAGCGACTGAGGTTAAAGAAATGCCTAAAATGGCCATCATTTTGGAGATATCGTTGATGAAGGGTGCTATTCCCAAAGAAGACTGAATCAGTAATGTCTGGAAGAGGCTTCAACAGATCCCAGTTAATGCGAGGCTCAATCCAGCATGAGTAGCCATACTGCTCTAATGTCCGGCCAAATCCAAGGCCGTACCGCACTTGCGACAAGCCCATTAGCTAAGATAAACTGTAAAAGAAACATACAGGGACAGCTTCTTAATTAAACTACCTAATTCCGAGCTTGGATATATACATTGAAACCCTTCGGCTTCACAAACCAGCGGTTACTCGTCTTGAAGTTCTTTCCCGTAGGATTATTCCTTGGAAACATAAAGTCAAAGTCGCGAATAAGACGTGGGATCAGCTTAGACATCTCCAGCATAGAGATGTGGCGACCAATGCACGTTCTAGCGCCCATACCAAACTGGGAGTGCTTTTAGCAGCTTGATCAGGATAATCAGGGAGTGCTCTACTTACTGGCATCCAGTGGCGATTCATCCTATCGAGCTTATCCTTGTCACTATCGAGCCAGCGCTCGGGTCGGAAGGCTTCTGGATCAGGTCCAAAGGCCGAGCTGTAGTGTTCCACCCAGCAATTAACGCCCACAAAGGTCTAAAAAGCAGGTCAGTCCACTGAACTACAATAAACTTGTTCCGTTTATGCAACCTACTCCTTCAGGGAAGAATTGGCCGGCGATTGTTGCACCGCCCTCGGGAACCACCCGCTCCAACGGTTGACCGACGGCAGGATGTAGCCTCAAACCTTCTTTTATCACAGCCTGCAAATATCGCATCTCTTGTGTCTCTTTGAAGCTAAAGTTACGGGAATGAGCGGCGCGTGACTGATGCTCAGCCACCTCTTGACGAAGCTTCCCTGCCACCTTAGGATTGGTCATGAGCAGATGCATAATAGCTGATAGACTGATACCAGTTGTGTCTGACCCAGCTGTCATGTTGGATGCACATCCACTGATAACATACCATTGATTGTATGTCACTGGATCCTTGCGATGACGAGCCGCATACTTGGATAAGAAATCCATAGTTTGCTTATCTTCATCCTCAACATTCAGGTTCTTTGGCTTAGCTTGATGCTCTTTCATGAGATTCTGGGTGAACTGAATGACATATTGGATCCCGCTTCCTGTGTTTCCAGCAAAGATGTTTTGGATGTGGAAAAGTAACGGGTGAAGCCAAGAGTAGACACCGATTACACTGGCATAAGCGAGGAAACCTTCTAAAGATTCCATGATAGCTGCGATGTCCACGCCATGATCGAGGAATCCTATCCTCTGGGAGTAGGTGATCATACTGATGACATCAAAGGCGTAACACTGAAACCATCTGCCTAGGTCAACAAGCAACCAGGCATTCCCAGCTGCAGAGCATCCGGCCATTTCTCGGAGTCTCAGGTCAAATAAGTCGGAGCATTCGTCGACAAATGCCTCGTATGAGACAAGTGCCGACATAGCGTGTGTGCTCTGATAGAGTCGACGCATTTGGGCATGCTCCTTGATGTTCTCAAGGGCGAAGAAAGATGGCCTATCGCGAAGGGGTATACCAAATGCTCGAAAGAATGAGGACTTGGCAAATTTATCTGCCTTTCCAACACCATAGATAATCTGAGCGGCCTCAGGGTGGTCGAAGCTATATCGGTTGGGACCATAGCGGACGATAGGGCCGTATTTGCGATGAAGGTCGATATTGTCGCGCTCAAAGTGGCCTTTTCGAATACGGCCGACGTACCATAAGTCAGTGAATCGAGCAAATAAAGGTCCAGGGATGTTCTTTAGAGGAGAGACGAAGATGTTATACATAGTTGATGCAGCCTTGTAGCTGATGGCTAAAGCCAACGCCACGAGCGAAAGTAGGAGAAAGAGAGGTACCATGTTTGCTATGTGCTTACTATGAATCCTCTGTTAGGGGAGGGGGCTTATCTAGTATTTATATATAATATAAAGACAAGAGTGAAATTGAGCTTCTTGGAACATTTTAGTCTAGGGTATCGTAAGTAGTAAGATAATTTATCTATTTCCTGTCTCAGTCGGGTCTCCACAGTCAAACATCCGTGTGGAGAAGAGAATGGTTTGTGGGGCCGAGCCGCTCGGTCTCATATAAGGAAGCCAAAAGCCAGGGTACTATACCAGTACTATCATAGAGGAAGAGCATGCTGTCCGAACCATCATGCTATATAACGTCGAAAATAAACTGCAGGTCTTTTATCATGTTGGTCGCGTTGGCTTGGCATTCATAGAGTGTCTGAGCGTCTTCTTAAGTTATGACAGTGATTGTACTGTGCCGTTTACACTCCACTTATAACCCACCGACGTAAAAGTATGATCAGAAAACATAAGAACACAAGGCCCCAGAATTCTCACGTTGGCGGAATCTCTGTTCCTTAGCTCTGCCAACTCGACTAGGACAACCATGAAAGTCACTGCAATCACGCGTATAATAGCTCTTAGCTTCCCGGCGACTGCTAGTGCCTTTCGAATCAGTAAGGAATCTGTGGCAGGTCATGTTACTACAGCCTGCGCCGAGGCTCTGACGTCCGAAATCAAATGCGACAGCTACGTTCCCAACATGAACACAAATTATTACCAAAAGTGGGTTGGAGATATTGAACTGGCGGACAAAATCTGCACCAAGACTTGCTCTGAGTCGTTTCGAATCTGGAACGATACTGTGGCGAAGGACTGTGCTGGTGACATGAACGGCTCAGATTCTGATGCCAGGAGCATCACCAGCTTCTGGATGCGCAGTACCAGTTACATTTGGCAAGGGTTCAATGAGACATGCATCAAAGATACTGAGTCGGGGCGTTACTGCCAAGGTTTGTTATTAGTAATTGTTTGTATGATGCAGAACTAACTTCGCAATCAGAAATTCTCGACGGCTTTTCCGACATCGCAAGAGATCAGGAAAGGCCAATTGAAGAGCTCTGCCATCCCTGCTACGGCAAAGTTCTTACCGTAATGTCAAAGTCCTTCTTGTGGTCAGTAGCCGACTTTTACATATGGCCGCCTACGGAAGATGACCTTTATTGGCAACGTCAGCTTGACCTTGTCCAGAAGAAATGCGGCGGCTCAAATGGCACTGCCATTGCGTCTTCGGAATCACCAGAAAGAACTGTGACACAGGAACCGAGTGAAGGGGCAACACCGCACGGTCCAACCGATCCGGGAATACCTTCTGACTGCTCTTTTTTCACAATGATCAAATATTTTGATGGTTGCTGGAGATTTGCCAGTGACTGGGGCCTAACGGTGAAAGAGTTTGTTCAATATGTAGTTGGCCAATACATTGCTGCAAGGAAAAGGTTACTGACATAATCTAGAACCCAACCATTAAGGAAGACTGCAGTGCTATCAAACCTGACTACTGGTACTGCGTTGAAGTCAACAATGGATATTCGCGTAAGGAAGATTTACTCAGGACAACTGCTACCCAAGAAGGCGAACCGCAGCCCACGGAAGACCAAGACCAAGAGCGCCTTCCCACTCTGGGCAGTCTCGAGGATAATAAACAAGCTATTCTGGGCAAACAAGTTAATGCATGAACCTAGAGCAGAAGCGACGAAATCCAGAGGATGCTCCTGCAGACAGCTCGCCATTACATATCATGTCCCTAGAAGTAACAGATACACGGTCGTTCCACTATGTACCGTGACGCCCCCGCTATATGCAATATTGTTCGCTTGGGGAGAGAGACACCTGAACTGTGGAGAGTCCTGGAAAGCATCTAGATGAAACATAGGTCAAGTACTACAGGTCACCGTTTTGCAAATAGCAGATATTGTTAGACATAAGTAAGGCTGAGTTCAGTTTATGGTTTTCCACCTAGCATTGATGATCGCCTCGATGATTGTCGGACGGCAATGGCCTAAGCAACTGAAGATTGTTGAAACACGATACAGCAGACGGGGCTAGCAAGGAGAACACATATGAATGGCACGAGCTCGAGAATCTGGTAGTTCTCTTATAGGTCATACTGATACTGTGAAGCATGTATTGAAGAAAGATGCTGATATTAATAAATAGGTCAGCTCTTGTGGAAAAGGCCTGTTCATGTTCTAGCAAGGTTATGTTGAGATTATGTCTTACAGGCTATAATATTAGTTTACTTATAATATTACTTATACTTCTCAGCCAGCTTCTCGGCCGTCATCCTCCCTAAGTCAGCAATGCTAGCAGCCCCCACAATCTCCACAACTGTAAAGGGCACTCCCACCTTTTGTCTGAACCAGTTCCTCAGCTCGATACTAACAAGCGAATCGACACCGGCGCTCGCCAGTGGCACCGTTAGGTCAGGCTCCTCGTCGCTTCGCATCATGAAGTTAAACAGAGTGGTCCCAATCTCATGGGCCAGGAAGTCAGCTATGGCATCGGCGTCGAGCAACTCCGGCGTCTTCCCACACGACGACAGGAACTCTTTTAGGCTACTGTCTGTGGCGGGGCCGGATTCGATCTCGTCCCGTTTTTCTATATTGCGGTACACAAGCAAACGCGGGCTCTTCTTCCAGCCCGTGCGGTTCATGGGCGAGAGGAGGGGGTAGCTTTGAGCGCAAGCCAACGACGACGTGGCTGTTGTTGATGTAACCCCTGGTGAGCCTGGCGTATTCGTCAGTCTTCTCTTCGACACTTGTGCTCCTGTCAGAGGTGTCATTTGCAAGACAGGCTCGTGGACCCAACACAAACTCCAGAGAGTCGAGGAGGTCCTGCTCATGCAGGAAGTGAAGAGATGTGGCGCGCAACGCCTCAAGAAGGTGTCTCTCTCTGGCAAGGAAACCAACGTCTTCCATGATACCAATCGCCAGAGTTGAGCAAGCCAGGCCTTGACCATGTCGATACTGGGCGTAGGCATCCATGAATGTGTTGCCTGCTGCGTAATTGGCTTGCCCAATTTGTCCCGCTGTTCCTGACACGGAACTGAAGAGGAAAAAAAAGTCAAGCGGCTCCTCTTGCGTCTCCAACGCCTCCTCAAAGTTCCGCGTGCCCAGCACCTTGGGAAGGACTGCTGTCTACCATGCATCGAACTTCATGTCGACAAAGTTTGCATCCTATTTCGGGGTCAGCATTAGATCTGAGAGGTTTAGATTCAGAACTTGGTTGCAGCATACCTGTAAAACCATGGCAGCCTGTAAGAATCCGGCGATGGGGTAAGTGGCCGAGGCCACGGCCTTCTCAACGTCCGCCCGGTTGTTAATGTTCCCACTAACGACTTTGGTCGAGCAACCCAAACTCCCCAGCTCTTCAAAGAAGGCCGGGTTGGATTCAGCAAACTGGGTGGCCGACCTGGAGAAAAATAGGAGATGGCGCGCTCCCTTTTCTGCCAGATACGTAGCAATTGACTGGCCCAGTCCACCGAGTCCACCTGCAAACACGTAAGTCTGGTCATCTCGAAGATCCAACTCTCGGCGGGCCGGTTCTGCCTCGGGCGCATGGGTTGCTGGGCTCTCCGGGACCGTGACGACGATCTTGCCTATATGCTGGCCCTTTTGCATGTACCGGAACGCCTCTTCAACTCTTGCGGCCTCAAATGTCTTAATCGGTCCGATGGGCCCAAGTTTTCCTTGCCCGTGGAGCTCAATGATCTTGTTCAGGACTCTACTTGCAACCTTAGGTTTGTGCGCCCAAAGTTCCGTGTGGTCAAGGCCCACGAATGTTCGGTTATTCTCGAAGCGGTCCATCGCCAACTCGGCCTTGCCGATGAAGTCCCTCTTTCCGATTTCGACCATTGTGCCAAACTTGGCAACGCAATTCCACGACTCGTGAAGCAGCTCACCCGAGAGCGAGTTGAGAACCACATCGACACCTCGGCCGTAAGTTGCTTTCAGGATCCCCTGCCGGAAAGAAATGTCTCTGGAGTTAAAGATGTGGTCTCTGGGAATACTGAAAACACTTATCAGATACCCGATCTTCTCCTCACTACCCACAGTACAGAAGATCTAAAGCCCAAAAGGTTAGCGAGGGTTCTTTTTAGAAATCATTTAATGTGGAAGGAGTGCGAACCTCTGCTCCGATCATCTTGGCTATCTGAATGGCGGCTTGTCCAACTCCACCACAGGCCGAATGAATCAAGACAGACTGTATTGAGTTAGTGTCTGTTTGACACATAGAAACATCAAATCTTACCTGTTCTGCCTCCAACCTCGCCAGGTCCACCAATCCATACATGGCGGTGCCAAAAACGCATGGCATAGTCGCCGCCTCTTCGAAAGTCAGAGAATCGTGAATCTTGGTGCAATAGATCTCAGGCATGGCCTGTGATGTTGAGAAGCAGCCCGTGGAACTGAAAGCCACACGATCTCCAACACCAAGGTGCTGGACATCGGATCCAATGCGAGTGACAACGCCAGCGCCCTCGAAACCAAAGTCGCCGGCAGCCAAACCGTCTTTGGTGGCCTCGACAATACCCATAGCAATCAAGACGTCCTATTTTGAAAGTCAGAAACGATGTACCTTGCGATAGCTTCGCCGAGTGTCTGTTACCTTGAAGTTAAGCCCGACTGCTCGAGTGTCCACCTGTACCCAGTCCTCCGCCTTCAAGACCGGAGAAGTCTTCTGTTTCCAGTGAAGGGTTTGGATGATTCCAGGCTTGCCGATGACCAGACTCTCCATTCGGACTTCAGGCCTTTTGTCTTGAAGTTCGCTGTTGATATTGATCCAGTGCATGCGACCGACCTGGATCGTGCCGGCATGGAAAGCGTACTCCGACTCAAAGTCAGTATCAACCTCGCCGTCTGTCACTCGCGATGGGAACGTCTAGAGAAGGTCAGAAAGTGCTTTCCATGCACTTTCATCAAATACCTCCAGTTCGAACGTCACCAAATCAATACCGGTCTCTTAGCGGATGCTCCTGGCCATTCCGTTAACGAGCGCGTAGTCGGGGTTCTTACAGCAGATCTGGCAAGCCCCAGTAACCCAGCAAAAGGGGACGTCCTGAACCGAGAAAAGAGTTCGTTTGAAGGATTTGAACTGCTCTTCGGTGATATTGGCGAGAAATGCCGCTTCCAAATCCATCAGGAAAACTGCAGGCTGCCCTGGGGTGAGCACTTGACCGAGGGAGAAAAGGTCCAAGCCCAGGCCTTTCCCTTGCAGGTATTTGATGACTTCTGCAACTGCAGGATGGTCTAATTCGTTGGTGATGATGCTCACTCTTTTCAGTTGTTCACAGCGAGGCTGAACGGGTCTGGCGATGATGCTGTTGCTCATGTTGCCATCGAAAGCATATGCCTCAACACCGGAGAAGCCTGCCTGCAAAAGCTTCTCGTGCCATATTCCAACACTGACGTATGGCTCGTTCTCCCGACCGTCCTCGCTGAGCCACCAACCGACCAGCGGCCCCATGACATAATTGACCGATTTGGATGACTCGGGGCTGAGCTCCATGAGGAAGAGCCGACCTTCGGGATGAAGAAGCTTCCGTACATTGGACAAAGTTTTGGCGAGATCAGGCGTGGCGTGCAGGCAGTTGGAGGACACAACAAGGTCCAATGAACCCTCCTCGAATCCTTGGCTGATCGGGTCTTGGGTAATATTAAGCACCGAGTACTCGATGGCATGGTAGTCACAAAAGCGCTCCTTGGCCCCCATAAAGAACCAAGCTGATATGTCACTGTACACATAGCTGCCATACATGCGCTCTCCTTGGTCGGATCTCAGGGCGGGAAGAATTGTAGCGGTGGTGCCGCCTTTCCCAGCGCCAATCTCCAAAACTCGCATGGTGGGCTTCTTGTGGCCGAGTAGAGTGAGGAAGTGAAGATGATCAGCGTTATTGGTGAAGTCATACATGCGCATCAAGATGTTGTCGGCCATGAGCACCTCGAGCGGGTCGGCTTCGCCAGTGAAAAAGCGCACGCTATTGTCAAAGATGCGATATAGGGAAATAGCCACAGCTTCAGCTTCAGTGCCCTTAGAGGCTGCGAGGTAGTCCCGAATGAGCTGTTGTCTCTCCTGAGAGCTCATGGTCGCGATTTCGGCGCAGTTGGAGACGTGGGGGTAACGCTCCTCGACCGCTTCTGTGTAGGGGATGTCCATCCAGTCGCGAAACTTGACAAGATGCCATTGGGTTCTTTCGAGTCGCGCGAGCTGGTGCCTGGACTCGATGATGCATGCAAGACCCATAGTATCGACCAGTCTATGTTGCTCATCATCGGGATCCTTCTTCAATGATCGAAAGAGTCGTGTAGCATCAATAAATTCTGCATCGGTCTTCCATTCAAGTACAGCTGCGGCGTGTGGATCGTCGTCGACAAAATCGGAGCCGTCACTTAGCGGTGAAAGTTCGAGACCTTTCCAGCTAAGAACAACTTGACCATTAGAAACGCCCATCAAGTTGCTTATTGATCTACCACGGCCCTTATTAACGGCATCCCCAACCACCCGTATTGGTCCATCGGGTCTTCTAACGTACATTTCTTTAATATACTTGGGCACCGAATGCGCCCTGAAGTTCCTGCTAAGCCTATGGTATAGGCAGACACTGGAAAGGTGGAAGGCAGTGTCGATACTAGCTGGATGAACTGAATACAGCCCGCTCTCTCCAGGGAGACATTTCTGGTGAATGGTGCCCACTGCCCTCTTCTCGGTTGTGTGCGTGCTGATGTCGTCCAAGCCGCGAAATCGCCCGCCATAGTTCATACCAAATCGACGCCAAACGTTGTACATGACTGAAGCGGGAACTTTGCAAGGGAGGGGCTCGATGTTTGGGGTGTCGGGAACAAATGTTTGCCCAGACCTGACTTGGCCCGAGACGTGCTTGGTCCATGTGTTAGTAGTGGCAGTGAAAGACGAGATGGTGAAGCTTTACCAATCCGAGTCAGCTGCATTGATCAGGTGAACAGGTATTAACGTTGTAACCAGCTCGACAGGGCCGCCATGTAGGACGAGCGCCGAAGCCAGCGTAACGCGTCTCACAGAGTAATCCTGAGCCACGAGGCATCTTGGACTCGCAACTTGTAGCGCCATGCGGGTCTAGCGTCTGCACTCTCGAGCACCCGGGCACCAAGCAATTCATGGTGGTCGAATTTGCGGAAGCGCCGGTCTCGGGATAGGCGATTTTCCGACCAATACTCGCCGTCATAGTGCCATGAGTATGTGGGGAGGTCGGTCAACAACTCCCCGCCTTCAGGCCTGCCATGAAGGTTCACGGCGCTCAAGTCAATATCAGGGGTGCCGGCCAGCCAGAGATTGCCCGCAGTGCTAAGGATTGACAAGTGGGCGTCTTTTCTGCGTACAAGCGTTGGAATGTATCCGGCATTCGACTTCATCTCGCTCTGAATGGTTCCCACGACCAATTCCAGAACATTGGCATCGCCCGTCGATGTGACATTAGCTGGTGAATTATCGCAGCCAATGGCAACCCCTGGCTAGAGGTACTGCTTGACATCTTTCCGGCCAAGACCTATGGCTGCCATACCACCTTTGCGAAGAGACTTCAGCGCAATGGTGGAGTTTCCTCGACAGTAGGTGACACGGATTGCATCTTGGGCCGAAATGGCACCCCAAGCGTATGCGGCAGCGATTTCACCAGACGAATGACCTACAACAGCGTCTGGTGAAATATCCTAGCTCCGAAGCAGTTCCACGTGTGCAATCTGGATTGCCGTGCAGGAGCTGAGAAATTTCCGCTTCCGATAAACGGCTGGTCTACTCGGTGGCAAGAATTCCATCTGGTAATGAGAAGAAAATAATCAGTAGTTGAAGATTTGACGCTATAATGGTCGATACATACCTCGCATGTTCCAGTTTGGGCCATTCGATAGCCGTGATAGCTCAGTGTCAAGGTAGTCCACTGTATCCTTGAAAGTTCCATCGCTTCTGAGAAGCTCCAGACCCAATCCAGCCCATTGAGCCCCCTGTCCCGTAAAGGCGAAGACAAGGTCACACTTGGACCCGAGGGCCGGCTTGACAATTTTCGATATTTCGAAGGAATCCAATCTGTCTGTGACTCAAAAGAGGCAGCAGACTCTAGTATAACCTATATACAAGCAGTGTATCAGATACACCGAGTTTAAGTTAATACACGTCAGTGTTAAGTCTAGGCTATAAATCTATAAATTTAATTAAGTTAAATTTTACTTTTAGGCCTTATTATAACTTATTAAGTTTTTACTTAAGGTAAAAGAAAGTATAACTTATAACTATAAATAGTTTTTTAAATTTATAAAAAATAAAAAGCTAAATAATATATAAATTTAACTTTTTATTAAAAGTAATAGTTAGCTTTTTAATTCCTATAAATACTATATTTTCTTTTAACTTAAGATATTATAATTAATTATAAAATGAGTCACTGATAACCCAGCTAGCATCCTCAGTAAAGTCGGTACTAGCATCAAAAACCTCCCATCCACCATCCATCGCTGCATAGCCAGTGTTATCATAGTGTCGGAAGTACCGAGTAGGGTAGCTCCATGATCGCAAAGCGTTGGAACCTGTGCTATCAAAACTCTGCTGCGGGCACCAAGTGGCATCCTCCGAAAATTGCTTACTTCCATCGTTCGCATCGATGTAGAGTTTGAAGCCACTATGGCGAATGAAAGAACCTGGAGTGTCGACGGACTCAAGAGATACACAGCCCAGGGCGGAGGTGACGAGACCTTGTCGAACAATCCAGCTGCCCTTTTGCTTCACAGATGTATCGCTAGAGGAGGTAATAACTTGCGTATCAACAGTGGAACCACCATGGGCCAAGTATCGGTTTGCGAAACCAGGAGTCGTGGCCTTGATCGTGATAGTTGACCCTATGTTGAGTGGTGGGCCATTTGCCAGAGACGTTGCAGTAAATCCAGCTTGCTCAATATTGGCCTGAACTTTATCCTCGGTCTTATCGGATGGATAGCCTGAAGTAAGAACCCCTTCGTACCAAGTTCCCTGGTCCAAGTTACCGTTATCTCCGCCGATACCAAGAACGATCGCGCCCTGTTTGTCCATGGGATAGTAACCATTGGGGCGAGGCCCGCTGTAGAAGGTAGATAGAGATTTTGTCGTGGAATTGCCGCCGCGAAGAGCCCACAAGTTTGTCGAGTTACCTTTGAGAAACGCAGTCACAAATCGCGACTCGATCGTCGGGTCTCCTGGGTTATAGCCAGCACCTTGGCCTGAGAACAGGCCATTTTCCATATCGGCCATAACCCACGGCCCAGAGCCAGCACCAGAACCCCATTCGGTGTTAACACCAAAATAGATGGCCTCCATGGATCCATTGTCATCGGCGTGATTCGTAGTTTCAGCGTTGCCAAAATCGAAGCAGCACTTATCATTATAATGAGTCCCATCAAAGATGGCATACAAGCCCTCAGCCTCGTTCTTGACAGCAACGCCAGTGGTTTCATCATTTCTGTAACCGACTGTAGAATGCACAAAGATACCATATGCTTTTTGTCCGTTTACCAGCACCGGAGCGCCATAAGCTGCCGCGAGATCATCGTACTGTCCAGGCGCAGGGCCCTTAGAACCACCGCCAGGGGGTGCCCTGGTAAGATGGTTCCCCTTGCCAGACTGATCATAAATGATGGGAATGGCACAGGTGGTGTTGGCACAGAACGTGTCCTGCACCGACACATCTGCCACGCCACCAGGACTTGTTGGGACAATATCGGTGGTTTGGCCATCAGAACCACGCTGGAGTTGATAGAGCGGGCCACTGTACGACCCGTATAATGCTCTCGTGGTTCCGAAGGCCGCAACACAAGGAGTTCCCCCGTCAGCATAGATATCACACGGCCCAGAAAGAGCATGTGTACCAGCTGCTGCAAGGCCAGAAAGAAGATAAGAAGTTTTGCGGAAAGTCATATCTGTCAACAGTCGTAAAGTGAGGTTTGTATCTAGCAGCTGATGTGAGATGGGCTGTGTATTCAGTTATAAGAACTTGCGGAGGGCATGACAGAACGTATGCTATTAATGCTTGGCAGCTTGCTACTTTAGTATTGAACCGGCGGGAAATTTAGTTCTTAGCGCAACTCAGCTGATTGGGGCGCGTTGTCGAAAACTTGGGGAATACGGCACTTACTCTTGTTATAGGTAAGGATATTGAAGATCATCTGGAAAATACGGCACTCGATTGAGCCATGATTGGGGCGCGTTGTCGAAAACTTGGGGAATACGGCACTTGCTCTTTATAGGTAAGGATGTTGAAGATCATCTGGAAAATACGGCACTCAATCGAGCCATGATTGGAGCGCATTGCAGAGCATCTAGAGAAGACTACATCTACTCTAGACACGGCAACAACTAGATACTTACCTGTTGGCAATTTCAAGAGTCGATCTGTTCGGAAAATGCTTCCCTGCGATTTGTTTCCAGGACCGACCATGGAGAAGAACAGCATCCATTAAAGTCCGATCCTGTGAGGATATGCTAATTTAGTTGCTAGACGCCACGAAACTTTACAAAATTGGTTGGCATACGTCTCGATCGGTCCATTCTTCACGACTTAAATCGGGATCCAGCGAAGTTGTCCAATGCTTGGCACATTCTGAGAAAATATTATAACGTCAATTTACCCCTTCATAAGGACATAGACACCAAATGAAAAAGGCGGCATACGGTCAGGGCTTCGATTGCCAACAGCCTCGGACACAGAAGTCCAGCTGGGTAATGCGTTAGTGCGGGGTTGACTGCACGTACACGTAAAGGCAACATGAAAAAAACTGTACCTGTGACCATGAGTAGCGATAGCATCAAGCAGTCGTTTGTCTTCATCACTCGTCCAGGCCCCACGGTTCCAAATGCGTCTTATCTTCGTCCATCGGTTCCTACAGTCCTTGTTACTTCGGCCTCTATGAACTTGGGCTATTGCCACCCAATTGATGGTTCCTGCAGCAAGGAGACGTTAAATGACATATCACGGTATAGTCCATATGTTTGTACACTTACCTGTGTAGTTGGAAACCTGTTCATTGAGCAGACGGTCTTCCTCGGGGGTCCACCTTCGAAGCTCGGTTGACTTTCTAGTTGACATGATGTAGATACGTAAGAGGATTTTCTTTTAGCATTCAAGCCTGCTGAGATATCAATGTAATGGAATTTCTCGTTTCGCACGATATGAGGGGCCGGGCACTTTAACTGGCGCAGCTTGACAGAGCCTGGTTGTTAGATTTATTAGTTAAAAGCCTCATTTTCGTGGTTCACTCGGAAGGCCCGTTAGTTGGGTGACCATAACTGTCAACCAACCACCCGCCGAGACACGACCTGGATTCGGGGTAGACCGCCTTTCGTACTACGTACCCTTGGTGTTCAAAAACCTCAATGACTCATTCAGTGAAGCTTTATGTAACTGAAAACCTAATCCTGATTACGACCGAATCTCCGGCATTTGGAGATAGCTATCGGGGTATCTAACTTTCAGCCAAAAGCAAGATCCTTCTTTGTGGCCTAGGGGCTGAAGCCTCTTTCAAAACCCAAACCTAACCACAGTAATACGTACGTGCTCGACATCAGATGTTTTGGCTGCGAAGCGCCACCAACGCCACCGTATCTCTCCTGCAGGCGAACAGCACGGCCCCTGGTACCTGTTCGTGTTTCTGAGACCTGTACCTTGTTGGTTGCACAGGTACACTGACTTTCACATCACGCGCCTCACACACGTCCTCACAGCTGATGGCTTACATCACGCGCCTCACACATGTACAATATTGGAAACGGTGACCTAGGGTTAGTATTACGCACACACACTCGCACATCTGTCGGTTATCCTTTTTCTCTGGCGAAAAGTATAAATTCGAGAGCTTGTCTTCGCTCCTTCCAAGCCCATATGCTACTGACTAAGAACTTTGATCTTAAACCAGTGCAGAGAACTTCGCTTCCTAGCTACAATCGTAGAGACTCCATCGTCGGCATCTGGTCCGAGCACAATCCTATCATGGACGAAATAGGGGCAGATTTCCCATTCAGGGCCACGCCCAAGGCTACGCCCCCAACACTCAAGATTGATCACGACTGCGGCGTCAAAATCACAACAGTGAGTACAATTTCCGCTATGGTAACCCTTCTTGTTCAGATGCTCATCTATTTAAGTCTCCCGCGATAAATAACCCTCCACTGCCCGCCGATGGCCCTGGTAACGAGACCTTCTCCAACGGGCTCTTGATTTCCCTCTTGATTCTTGTCCCGACGTGCACAGCATGGGAGTTGGGTGGCGGGTTCAAGACCACGATCTTCTTCGCTCTCATCACCACTTTTCCGGTTCTGATCATCTTCTGGGCCATCACCTCTGCCACAGCCCCGCGCACAAACGAGAGAGTCAAGTTCCCAGGTCTTCCTGTGGAACACTACTTGACTTTTCATAAGGAACAAGATCGGGACAAGTAGCGAGGACGGAACAAGGTTCCGATGGAAACATTCATGCGCAAATATTTCGACGGCGACGCAGACTTCAATGGCGACGTCCTTGAAGTGCTTGAGTACCGTCATGATTGGGCGTCCTTCCGTTTCACATGGGAGCTATTTCGATACATCGTTGTCAACTTTGCTACCGATGTCCTCATCCATAGCCGATCTCAGGATGAAGATCAGGTTCGAGACCACTATGATCGTGGTGATGACTTCTATGCTTGGTTTTTGGGTCCGCGAATGGTCTATACATCCGGCATCATCTCCGATGTGACCAAGGAGGAGTCTCTCGAACAGCTACAGGATAACAAGCTTGCTATCGTGTGCGAAAAGATTGCCCTGAAGCCTGGCGAGACCTTGTTAGATATTGGTTGCGGTTGGGGTACGCTTGCCAAGTTTGCTAGTGTCAACTATGGTGCAAAGGTGACGGGCATCACTCTCGGGCGTAACCAAACCAAGTGGGGGAACGAGACCCTGCGCAGGGCTGGCGTATCAGACTCTCAAATTCACTGCATGGACTATCGCGACATGCCCAAGGCTAAATACGATAAGATTACTTGCCTGGAGATGGCTGAACATGTCGGTATTTTTAAGATTACTAACTTTCTTCGACAGTGTCGCGATATGTTGGAGGATGATGGCGTTATGCTCCTCCAGATTGCAGGCATTCGACAAGCTTGGCAGTATGAGGATCTGGTCTGGGGCTTATTCATGAATAAATATGTATTCCCGGGTGCAGACGCATCTGCGCCACTTGCGTATTATGTCGGGTTTTGCGAAAGGGCAGGTTGGGAAGTCAAAAGGTGAGCCACGGGCCTCTATGAATGAATCCAACACACGCGGCAGACATGCTAATGATGCTCAGCGTGGGCACCATTGGCGTTCACTACTCGGCCACTATTTGGCGTTGGTACCGGAACTGGCTGGCCAACGAGGCCGACGTCACAGCCAAGTACGGACTGAGATGGTTCAAGGTCAGTTGAATGTTTTCCGTCGCAGCAACTGCAACTAACCAGATGCCTAGATCTGGAAGTATTTCCTCGCATCAGCCACCATCGCCTCCCGTCAAGGATCTGCGACCTGCTATCAGATCACTCTGGTCAAGAACATCAACAGCGTCCACCGCATCGACGGAGTTTCGACGCAATTTGCTCTCTCGACTGCCCTTGAGGCAAGTAAGAAGGCCCGCAGGGCAGTGTTCCCTGCCAACTAGTAATAACGAATCGAATGGGACCGGAAGATCCAATAAGAGTCATTCCAGCTGTCAGGGAACAGCACACTGCTTGCCTTGACATGACATGAATGAGCTCCCTCATATTGTCAATGTTTGGCATGACTCTTCTTTTAAGTTTTGTCTGCCAATAAGGACATTTAATCAGACCTCAATTTCACCCAGTATTTGAAAGCTCGATGCATGCTCTACTCATTTGAATGTTTTGGCAGAAAGCGCTGTGGGACTTGCGGCAAGGAAGAGGCAAAAGCGCTAGTAGAGGTGGGTTCTTATAACCTATGCCATGACAAAGAGATAAAACTATTCAACAGTTTCCCAAATACCTCTGAGCCTCACCATCTCCCGTGTCATGCTCTCCGCATCTCGAAACCCACTGTTCATAACATCAAGGCGCCTCCTTGCCTCAGCATCATATCTATTATCCCACCATCCTATCGAGTTATTGCCGTACCTTTGATTGCCCTGGTATCCCCAAGACGCCATGCTTCCTATCCCTTGGTACTGTACGCTCATGAGGCCCTGAAATGCAGCTTCTTGATTCTTAATTGCCTGCATTCTTTTCAAGAATTCAATCTGCCGTATCGTCTTTTCGTAGACGCTCATCCTATGGGCCGCAAACGAATTGAACTCGGCCAATGCATTATCCGAGTCTGCAGATCCAGGCGGCCCTGCCTCGCAAACTTCTTTCCACAGCCCACGCATCCGTGGTGACTAGATCTGGCACATCTGGTACTCCTTATACATGGTTTCATTTATGGGTAGGGAGTGACCCAGTCTCGTCTTAGCTATGAACTCGTAATAGCATTCTTCGCAAAAGAGTAAACCCAGGTAACCCCACCACTTGACGTTTTGCCAAGCGCCGGTGCGTGGATAAGCAGGAACTCGAGCGAACTTCACGGCAAAATCAGAAAATACGTCAAAGTTTCCTGTATCGACGGCTTCGCAGAGCTTCTCACGTAGTCGCTCGAATCGCGGCGCCGACGGGCAGAGGCTGCACAGCATCGCAGTCTGGAGTCCCTCGGGCGGTAAGGGAATCTCGAAAAATAAATAGCCTAGTCCTCGGCTCTGGATGGCGCCAGCATGACAACCCTCGCAAATGGAGAAACCAGGACACTCTCTTACCAGTGAGAACCAACGTCCACCGGTAATTCCGGCCGGAGTGCAAGGGGAGAGACCACTAATGACTCTGACGGCTTCAATAAAGACGGCGTGGTATTGCCTTGAGTTTGCAGCTTCCAGAGCCCATCTGACGGATAATTGACTAAGAGTGCATGTCCACTGATGGTTCGGGCCGGGAGGTGGTGATGAGGCGGCATATTCGTTGGCGAAATCCCCGTTGGCCAAGTAGTCCATGTAACAGGTCTTGCAAGTTACAAAAAGATCGGCCACACCTTGAGAAAGTTCAAGCCACGCTCCACCGTCCGCTTGAACCGCCGTACCTAGACACTCGGGCTGGATAAGGCGCTCGTAAGCTCCCTCCACAAATGCGTTCCAGTTGCCGCGTTTGGCGAATCTGGCCACAGACTGAGACGTATATAGATAACCCATATGGCACATTATTGCGGTGGCACCTTTCGGGTCCTCTTGCCGGCAGAACCTATCTTCGAAAGCTGTACCGATCACGTACAACTCATGGCAAGATTCACAGACGTTGAAACCTTCGATATCATTGGACATGCGATATATTACCGTTGCAGAGCTGAAACCAACTTCAACGCCTGGGTTGCAGGGCTTCAGCTTGATGAGACTGTTTAGGAACACGCAAAGGCTCTCTACGCTGTTGGTCTGCACTGCTTCTGGCCAGAGGACATTCTTTATCCGAGGTATCCAGAAGGTGCAGGATACGGCTGGGTCGCCAGACATTTCGAGCACTTCGAAGTGGCCTTTGAGGGATGATGTCGCAATATTTTCCCGATAGCAACATTCGCAGATAAAATAGCCTGGAGTCCCCTTTAGGTGCACCCAAATCCTCGAATAGCCGATTCGTCGCGCCCGTGGACAGGGTGGTGAACTTGATGGAACACCATCATCTGATGTTGTAGAGGCAGTTGCCGGCTCGTCTGTTTGGACTTTCATGCATGCGATTTGGTCCGACAGTGCAGCAACAGCCTCTGAGCCTGTTGGTACTTTCTGCGATATCGACTGGCGGTGCTGCATTGCATATTGAGTTTGATGCTGATGGTGATGGTTTGCGCGGAGGGTTCTAGTATCTTGCGGGTGATGGTTATTCGGGTAGGACATGCTTGTCACTTACATGGCAATTCTCGTTCCTTAGGTATCAGCTTAACGTCTTGACAGCTAGTTGACTCGACTCAGGACTGGGAGTCCTCCTTTTACAGGTTCCAGCATTCAGCCTATGGTGATACTTGGTCTAAGACTGCAGTAGGGCGCTCACCCCACTTTGCTTACCAACCTCGCTAGTACTAGCGGGGTTCGTGAAGGGAAATGAACGCAGGGTGTTGGATTTCGGGCGGCAATTCGGCAGCGGCTGAATCCGACCTAGCCGAGCTTTGTCACACTACCTGACCAGTGAAGTTGGGAGAATTCATACAGCTGTGGATTAGAGTGTTGTGAGTTTAAGAATTAACAATAACAAACCTGTAACAAGGCTGAATCCGAGTTAATTGATGGCATCTTTAGGACTAGCGATTACGTGGCTCCCAAAGCCACATGCCCTGCCGCTGCTGGTATCAACGAACACAAAGCATGCTTATTAATGCTGGGCTGACTATCGGCGACTACTATCCGTACTTCCGGTTTCAAAGCACCTGCTTTTCAATAAATAAGAGCATGCCGGCGACGCTGCCTCTCAAGCCTCCAAGGTAGTCAAAAAGCCCAGACTTGTCGAACCTCAATACGAATATTCAGCAACATGAAACATACAACAAGTCTCGACGGAACAGATGGCGCCGGTACACGTTATGTCCGAGATAGTCAGGACCATGCCTCTTCCCGCCGGATCCGAGACCATACGAACCGAGGCATGACCTCTGCGACGACACCTTACGAACTCGAGGAGCTGGACACATGCTCTACCCGACCTCCCTCGTACTGTTCGACAGATCCAGCGTACCTCGAGAGTGATGACAAGAGGCACGTGCGCTTTGAAATACGGCGATCAATCCCCCCCGTCAAACAGTCCCAGGAGCCTGAACAGCTCGACTGGTCTAAGTTTTCCAAGGCCAGACGAGGTCTTGTTGCCAGAGCTTACTGGGGGTTGCCGGGGCTAGCCCGATTCACTCTTATCGTGCTTCCATTTGTCTCTATGTTTGTCCTTACTTCATGCTATATCTTCAGTGGAGACGACGTCCTTGGACTAAGTGCCGATTCTTTCATACTCGTGGCAGCAAATGTTGGCGTTTTGACTTTGATTGCAGTAAGTATGCAAGCACTATCTCACAACATGCTATGCCGTTCCTTTTAGAAATCCCTTTATTTTTCTGCACCTCGCCTACCTCTTTGAACTTTTTATGGTTTTCTTTCTAGATGCTTATATGCAGTACCGCCACCTCGTGAGCTGTAAACTAACCGCTCTTTGTCTCTACAGCTTTTCTTAGACAGTATGACGGGTTCCAGATATGGGAAACGATTAGAACTGGCCCACCATGAGGCAATCGAGTTGGCTGCTCTTGCATTCATGTGGTTTCTATCTCTCCTATGGGCCGTGACTGGCCTAATCTTATGGGGAGTTTTCGCCGCTGGTGAGGGCAATATCGCGGAACGTTGGGTGCTGGCGACACAGTTTGATGCTAAGATATCACAGCAGAACGCTTTGGGGTTCGTGACTTCCTGCCTCAGCGAGATGATTCCAGAGCGAAATGCTACAATTCACGACTTAACTATTTGTTTCCAGAAGCTCGGTATGCCCTAGATTACTATCTATAGCTATAAACCCCAAAGCCAGCGACAGTATTTAGATTTTCACGATACAGCTTCCTGCCTGCAGAATTCCATTTACATAGGTCAGAATGTGCAAACATAATCTTTCTGCATTTCAACCCTAGGTTAAGATGTCATAGTTAAGACGTGTCAAGAAGCATCCGCAGCAGAGGTAGTTCTGAACGACAAAATCACTATACAGGCCAGTCATGAATTGATCTTATGACTTGCTACCTCTAAAAGCCGTACTAGGTTCTCTTTACTGGAATAAGCTTATAGCTATAAATCTTAACTATAAATAACACTTCTAGCCTATAACTTAGATATTAATACTATAATAATTAACTAATAGCTACAGTAAAATACTAATATTATAAAAACCTAAAAGATAACTTATTTACTTACTATTATAAGTTATAAAAAGCTTTAATATATTTATTAAGATTACTAAATATAAGAAAATAATAAAGTAATATAGTAATATATATATTTAAATAAATTTTAATATTATTATAGATCAATCTCTTCCTTGCGCCTTTTAAGGAGGAGTTTAACAGTCATATCTCGGACCACCGTCATTCCATTTACCCTCAGGTCCGATGATGGTCCATGACACTTTAACTTCCAGTCGTACTTCAAAAGCATATGACAGAGGATGATTTTGATTTCTTGAACAGCAAAAAAACGCCCTGGGCAGGCGTGACGGCCGTGTCCAGAACCCATGTGGTCGATGCTCGTGGCAACTAGTTGTGCTTGAGTATGCTGACCAGTCGATCCGCGCTTCTCAAGATAACGATATGGGAGGAATTGTTCTGCATTTTCGTAAAAGCCAAAAGAAGAATCGAGCGTATGCATAACGTCAACCACAATTCTGGTGCCTGATTTGATGTTCCAACCGTGTCTGAGCTTGATATCTGTCATAGCTCGTCTGCGGAAATTGACTGTATACACCATTAATGTTTTTTCTAGTACGGTGTACGTATCTTGAAACCACGGTTGTCCTCTTACCTAGAAGTGCTGGATTCAATCGCTGTAGTTCTTTGATGACGCTATCCATACGTTTCAACTCGTGAAGCCCTGACTTTTGCCAGCCATGCGTATTAATGACTTGAATTGCTTCTTCCCTCAGTGAGCAAAATAGCTCCGGGTGTTCAGCGATCCCTATCATGGCCTGCGTTAAAAGGTCAGATGTCGTATGAGCTGAGGTTAAGACGAGGTTAAGTTGGGAAACTATGATATCCTGTTGTCCTTTGAGCTCTTCCTCAAACCACTCGGTTGAGTCATTAAACCTGGACACGTCTCCCGCAGACTGGCGTTCCAACTGTAAGCGCGCTCGCTTATCATTATGCGCCGCTAGGACTTTCCGTACTTGAACAAGCCTGTGACGTAACTCCCAGCAGGATGGCATAAACCAATGGACTAAACGTCGAGCCCATAGTGGCCAAGCTCTCAACACCTCGGATAGCTCGAGACCAAGGAGTGAATACCGTGTGAAAGCATCAGCCCACTCTTCATCTCTACTGAGCTCTTCACCCATATAGGTTTTGGTGTTCATACGGAGGACTATCCTATACAAGTCTCTTCTAGGATCAATTTCGATCCAATCTGAAAGGTTAGCTCAAACTCATAGGTGCTCATCCACAAACTTACCTGTCGGGGCACTGAATACTTCCTCCAAGACAGCGCTGGCTTCATAAGAAAGCGGAACGGTGAACCTTTCTATTGTTGCCAACGGTTAGCCTTATGAAGATAAATTTGTCAGAGGTTTATCGTACGCGCTGGTTTTGACAGATACTTTGTGATTATGTGTGGCAGACTATCATGCGGGGAAAACCCTTCGAAACCAGGGATTGCGCTGTGTACATCCTATCAGATAATTAGTACTTAGTCTTGTTGAATGTGGATTAGATTGTACCTCTCTGACAACGGGGAGGGATTCCAGCCTCGGGTCATTCTTTAGTTCCTCGGCACATTCTGGCGGCAAAACGACGACCTCGCCCCAATCGGTATAGAGCCTGTACGGTAAATTTGGATATAGCCGCCGACCAAATGTGAGGAGTCTTTTACCCTCTCTCATGAATTCAGCTCTGCGCCGACTATTCGTAAATTCCCATCGTTTTTTAGGGTTGAGGACTGGAAACTTATCAGTGTGGAGAGTTCTCAGCCTAATGCAAAATAATATAGTGATAATTAAAGGCAAAAGAAAGACGGAAAACCGCCAGGGGTTAAAGCTAGATAGCTCTTGTTGTAAGACAAGAAAAACTCGAAAGACATTCATACTAGGCCCATCTGATGTTATATCAAAGGATAAAAGCTTAGAACTTTTGAACTATGTAGTGATCCAGATGTGGATATTTAAACTCCCTCCTTCCCAGTGCGGCTAAATGATACTGGTAATGCCGGGATTGTTAAAATACTCCGGTGAGACCAGCACAAAATTGCTTAAACGAGAACAAGAGGGAAAAAAAACTCCGCGTAAGTTATGGCGTTATAATAATAGCCTTAATACCGTATTAATTATAGTCAGCTTACTTGAGTATGTTTTATATATCTATTTATATTTATTTTTCTATAGTCTCTAAGTATAAATATAATCTGTAATAGTTAGAGTTTAATTATATTAAACTAAGCCGTAGTAGGTTTATTATTAGTTATCGCGGTATATTTAATATTACTTTTATAATTTCTTTAAAATATCTAACTATATTATAAAAGCTAAGAAAACTTTAACTAATAACTAAAAATCTCTTTCTATTCTTATTATAGCATTTAGGAACCCTATTATGCCTTATTTTAATTGTATTTATTATAGTATTCGCTTGAGATATCTAACAATATACCAATACTCGATACACAGTCCAGTAATCATCTTTGTCTATGAATCTCTTCCTCCAGCATTCTCATCATGTCCGTTTTATAAAGTTTAGTAGACTCTACTATTTAACATTCTCATTCCATTTATCTGGTCGTTCAATTCTGGCATTTGAGGGTTGTGGAGATGACTTCCGGCGAGGGATTCGAAATAGTGACAGAACCGCCAAAAGAGCCTTGGTCGTTGTTGATCCAGATCTGGAGCTGGCCGTTGTCGCCATTGTAGCTAAAAGTGACACTGGGGTTCGCGCACGCGTAAACGTTTTTCGATGTGAAAGCTTTGGCAGTCTTCTTCTGGGGGTCTTTGTTGAGTGGGGGACATCGGGTCTCCATGTCTTGGGAATACAAGCGGAAGGATACGTTGTTCTTGTTGTTCCGGTCGATGTAGGCGCCAGTAAGACTGACGGGAAGTTTGTTCACTTGACAGCCTCTCGGTTTGAGGCGGGGAGCAGCAAGAGTGCTTGGTAGCAGAAAACTCAACAGTAAAAGAGTAACAATCATTGTGTCGGGATTTGGGTTAAATAAGAGGAGCCGAATATCTTTTCAGTGTTTTGAGCGTTCGAATATTAAATCACCAATACCCCAGATCACAAAATATCGACACACAGCTGAGTCTTAAGTAATTATCTTCTTAAGTTGCACACCCTGATTGCAGGTCCATTCCAGATTCCACACGCTTGTAGAAGCTATCTGCCGCATTCGGAACTCCGGATACATATTACAGTGTAATTTAGAGGCGTCATGAGGTAGTACTGAAAGTGTAAATACGGAAGTATAAAGCAACCCTTGCTTTTTAAGGTTTACGCCCGCCTTTAGTACAGTGTTTTAACCTTCAGGGAATCCACTTAATGTGAATCAATGCACAAATGGGGACTAGAACAGTTTAATTTATCGTCGGGACCAACAACCCGATCCGGTTGTGCAGCTTGGATAAGCGATGGTCGAGGAGCTTTCAGAACGTATAGCGAGGTGGCGGGCGGCTTTCAGCGTCTTGGAAGGCAATTAAGTTCAATTCATGTTAACCTTATCTCCGTTTCTGCAAGATCAAGCGTTTGTTCTTAAACTGCCGTGCTGTCGGGCACGAAAACACGTGATATTTAAGCTTGCTCGCGGAAGTTCTCTGACAGCGCCGCATTAGACCAATCGCTAGGTCCCTTTTACAAAAGCACAGCCTGTTCATCTCAGCCCTATCATGCCACAGATGATATGGAGCAAACCAAGTATACCATTCGTTTTCCCTGACCCGCCCAAAGAATTTCATGTCTAGAATTAGATGTAGTAGAAAACTCAGATACTGATTCAGATGGGGAGCCACCGGGGTAAGCAAGAGATTATCCGTGTTTCGGCAGTTCGGCAGGCTAGTACAGGGTATAGCTATGTCTCTATCACCTACCCTATCTTGAGAGTCTCTCCAGTGTCCCTTCGTATACATTGTTCAATTTTCCCAGCCCACCTCATATGCCTCAGCTTCAACTTGAACAAACATTAGGCGTAGTCGACCAAGCATATTACCTTCTTCGATTTGGCGGGAAGACCTGGCCTACCATTGCTGGAGGTCAAAGTCAATGCTCTACTCAACCGTGACAATTTATATCGCTTTCAGCACTTAGTCTCGAGCACGGACAGACTCCAAATCAATAAGCTGCATCATTTATTTATCAATTGCCTCTCTATGCCAACTTAACGTACACTCGTTGCTAGCCATCAATGATTCCTGAACGCTTCTGATGTTGCGCCAGCTAGCTCATCAAAGTGTTCTTGGTCTCCCCCACGATAGTATCGTGGCCTTGCAAAATGCAGCAAACAGTCGCAATATTCTCACAAATCCTCCCCTGGTAGTACTTCATTTCCATTTCCATTTCCATACACCAAGTGTGGCGTATTCTAGAATTCCTTTGCACGCCGAGTTTCCATGTGCCTTGGCTTGGCTTACGGAAGCAGTGGGTGACGCCGTGATGGACTAAGATCCAGGAGTCTCCTCATGAATGGAGGTATTCTGGTCAACCTCAATGGTGAAAGAGAAGGAGAAATCTAGGTCTGATCCGCCGGCCATTCTCCAGAGAGCTTCATTGAATTCTGTTCAAAACTGCTGTTAGCACAAGTTTCCTTCCATTTATTAGATGAGACTTGCCTTCAAAGGCGGGATCTCCCGTGATGGTCTGGGCTCCGGAGTCCAGGCCATCAGAAGGACCAAGGGCTTCATCAACTTCTGCTACAGCTTGATGTTAGGACAAGCTTCCATTTATTAGATCAGACTCGCCTTCAAGGATAGAAATGAAGTCCAGCGTTACAGAGGTACAGGTCGTATCAATTGAAATGTCATCTGATGTACTGTCGCTTTCTGGGCTTATTCTGGCATAGTAATATCGCGTTTCGTTAGTACATACCGAACAAGTAGAAGGACAGGGCCAGGCAGGGTCATTGATGCCGAGTGAGCGAAGAGCTTTTATGAGCTTTGGTGAGTTGACAGTCGATAGAAGCCACATATTCAATTGATGAGAGATGTGCAAGAGTCAATGTGTCGATGTGCTGAGAGACGCCCACGATAATGTTGAGGGATGCTGACGATAATGTCGAGAAGAGTTGAGGAATCTGGGCAGCTTTTTATATATGGCTCTGTACCAGAGCGACAGTGAATGCAGGACCTTTCATTGGATGAGTTTTAATTGAATGATATTTCACTTCACACAAGAACCTTTGTATAGAGTGTTGTTTGTTACGTAGGCAGTCGATTGAGTTGGTGCATGAAAGGCCACCAAGGCACATGCAGCCTGCTCGTTTCCTCTCTTTCCTTTGCCATCAAAGAAGCGCTTATTGACGCAGATTTCTAATATCTAGTTAATATCTTCCCTGGAAGTAAGCCAGCAGTAAACAACGCAGTCACTGTGATGATGAAAGGCATAGTCACCGCGTACTTAACATCTTGACAGACTACCTTTACAGAGCCATCGTCTTTTGTTTTATATCATCAGCATCTATCACCTACTTTACCGCGACACATAGAGAAATCAGGCCAGTCAATAATACGGTATTCACTCAATCCGAACGGTTCAGAGATCAATATAGTTGCTTTGAGACGTCAGAACAGACTAGTCATGCCGCACCAAACCCTCTCAACAACCACCAACTTCAAAGCTTAAGCCTTCACGTCTTGACTACAGTCAACTAATTCAAATCGATATATCGAGCAACCTCTATTGCTTATCTAATCGTAACACTTTCTCTTTGTACCTCGCCTTTCTCTACAAGGTCCCAAATCTCACCATTCATAACACCAAGGACAAAGGCACCACCCAGCAAGTTGAACACTTGCTCAGGAACATCATTTCCCGTTTCACCAATTGTTACCTTCCTGAATATAAAAGGAACACTAGCACCTTCAATAACAAAAACCTCGTCACCCACTTGAGCCCTGTCGTTTGCAAGACCAATGCGCCAGTTGCTGAGTATGCACAGTCTCTTCCCATCGCAACGCTTCAAGATCCTCATTGCTTGTTTCTCAAAGCTGCCTGTTCCCTGGAAGATGTCCATAAGCGGTATCCTTTCTTTATCCGCTTCGGTCAGCTCCCCGAAACACTTCCACTCTCTTTCTCCATCATTGAGAACCTCTCCGTTATATCGCTTGATATGACTCACAGCGGCTTTAGCGACCTCGGGGTACACAACATCGTCGAATGTCAGCGTTCTGAGAAATTTCGATAGAGACAAGGGGCCGTTATGCCACTCGTGAGACTCCTCGTCAGTTATATCGTCCGGCATAGCGCTATGTTTGAGGTATGACTCGTCTGGTACTAGCTTTTCCCACTGTCCCACAGGAAAGTAATTCTTCGCAATGTCACAAACATCGCCTATCTTCTCAATTCTACCCAGGCTGACAGCCTGCACGTGAAGCTGTACAGACGCCTGAGTATTGGCGGATGTATATCCTGAACTCGTCCACGTATCGATGAGATGAGGATGCAGCATCTTCCATCCCCATACATGCTGAGTAGGCCCACTTGTAAAACCTGCGAATGGTTTATACCTCCCTGGAGCAGGCTTTTGAGTAGCAGCCCAGTATGGAGACGTGACGCTCCAGTCTGGGACCCATGTTGGCAGCCCTGTTATGGCTGATTCCCTGACCACGTGTGAAAGAATGTCAAGACCGACTGAACCCATCAACAGGATCGCAAGATCAGTATACACCCGGGACACAGAGTGGCTGTAATCGACTTGAACATTTAGACGGCGCTGCCGGATCACCAGCTCCTCAAGTTCCTGTTCATTATAGTCCCAGCGTTCCTTGTATCCTTCAAGCTCTTCCTTCATCTCTTCATGATGTCGATCCAATAGAGGGAGGACAGCGTATATCTTGTCTCTCGGGTCCGTAGCACCGCAGGTCCTCGTGTCTTCTAATATTTTCAAGAGTCTTTCGGCGTATGTGACGTGCAAAACATACGGAGTGGGCGACACAGTATACGTCACTGAGAACGGAAGTCTTTGTATCCAGCCCGCGTTGACATTCCAGTGAACAAATGTCTTGAAGTTCTCCCAACTGAGTTGGTAGTCGCCGCAGACCACTGTAGCTTTTTGCGCAGATGTGATCTCTTGAAGGACCCAAACACGAAAGAACCACGGCCTCTTAAATAGATTGGCCACAGCCATTTGGTTCTGTGGAATGATTGCCGAGGCTTCCACAGCCCCATAACCATCGTCGTTGGATGGTTCATCAATTTCGCGGATACATCTCATGGCTGCATCGCTATCAGGCGTTTGTCGTCCAAGATAGACCAAGACTTGTGATGCATTCTTATAAATACGGGCCATGAGGGTCAGTTGATGGTTCTTTTCAATAGCCGAATATTGATCGATGCAGATTGAATCAATCCAGAGTAGTCGAGATGAATCGAAATATCGGAAACTACTCAAGGCCGCGTGACAGTTTTGCGATATAAGTGCCTGAGTTATCGTGTCATCATCACCTTGAACATTGATTGATACAAGATCTTTCACGTCTCCCCAAACATACGAGACTGCCTCATAAGGCTGAGCTTCACAAAGCTTGGTATTGAGAAGACGGAGCGTGAGCGGGGCACCATCGCGCCCAGGTTGAAGAGATACCAAGCGAAAGGAATCATCTTTGTGGAGTATATTCTTCGCATAGAGGTTCTGTAAGTGATTATTCATGGTATATAGCTTATTTGGTACCAACACGCGCAATTTTGTGTAATCCTTGGTCTGTCAGCATTGATGCCGAGGACTGTCAGCTGAGCGGTCTAGAATGGCAGAATGATGATCACGGTTAGCGTCACGTTGCACTTGAGTCTTAAGGTATCATGGGTGAACGAGCAGGGCCTTTGGAACCCAACCAACCAACTGGCCCCGAGCTCTTCTTGACCTTCTCCCCGACATGACTGAGATAGTGCCACTTGCACACACGATGCCTCAAATTCTCACGCACTGTCTAGCCACCTACAAGCTCAACGTGGTCTTGGAGACGACATCTCACAAGAATGACTACCCAATCTCCAGTCCAGAGTCTCCTACACAACTCCACACCGCCGAAGGGCATCAGCTTTGATGCGGGTGGAAACTATGCGTGAGCAATTGATTTCTAAATTACTCCTGTGAGATCACAAACGCCTAGCCTGGTTGTTAATCTTCACGTCTGTTCATACCATGAACCCAATTGGCTTTGGTGCCCACCTCATGGTTCAGACCAGCACGATCATCGTCCGGGATCTCGACCAACTGGCATCGGAAAAGATCAAACAAAGTTGAGCTATATTCAGGCCCTCAGAGCGAAGCATTAACTATAGAATATAGACATAGATATTGAGTTGGTCCTAAAGCCTAGCAAAACGTCATCCTGGCGCATTGCAACTTTCCCATATTCACCAACTCCATTGCTTCTCCGTCCATCAACCCTTGGACATATGCCTCGCCAATGACCTGGAAGTATCCGCAAGGGCCGTACCGACGGATGACAACAGGGGTGCTGCAGCCAAGCAACACGGCGATCATGTCGCCCGGTCTAGTCTGTTCACTATCCTTCCCATAGATGTTATCTGGAGCCCAGCCCATATAGCCATTTGTGGTCGTCATGAACCTCCGCTTCTGGGAGGCCCTGTCAAAACACGAATACACTTCGCTGTAGTCCAATTCGGATGCATCCGGGGGAATTTCGTCACGGAAGAAGTCGTCGAGTCGGTGACAGCCCAATTCAAAGCTAGCGTTCATGGAGCGGAATCCCTCCCATCGGAAGTAGTACCCTTCCTGCCCAGCCAGCCATCCCCATCCCCGCTTTGTGAATTCTTGTGCGCCTTGCCTGAACGTGCGAGGTAGGTGGCGGATGGCAGCGTGACGAGCGGTGGCCTTCCCTCCCCCAGCAACTCTATCCAACACAAGAGTACGGTATAAGGTCGCAGCAGTGGCATCGAAGTCGCCATAGACGCTGTTCCATTGGCAAGGCTGAACAATGGTGTCATAATCCCAGTAGAAATAGCCCTTCCCTCTAGCGGAAAGTCCAGAAATGCTATCGATGGTAAACCCACTACATGTTAGTAAGGACCCATCGCTGGAGAACGAAGCATCGTACCTAGTGCCTCCACTAGCACAGTAAGGTATATGAGACGAATCATTGGGCTCAAGTCGCGGAAAGAATCGCGTCGGGCCCCAGAGCTGATTCTCAGTCCGGGACGATCTAAGCCGGCCCATCCACAACCAGTCTGCAGCCCACGACGGAGCGTTGGACGGTCCCCAAGGGTTTCCTTCGCGAATAGGTTCCAGGTTGTCATCAACCTGAATGAAACTTCTCGCTGTGGCGGCATAGACATGGCGCACGGGAAGAGTGTAATCGGGGTGCATGCTATCAGCCACAGCAGCAGACATCAACCCGACAAGTGCATAGACCTTATCCCTGGGATCTGAGCATTCCGCAGTATTGGAGATACCAAGGAGCCTTCCAAAGCTGGGGTACCGTCCACCATTTTCTTCGCGATCACTCAAGGGCGAGAGGTCTTGATAGACGAGATAGATGCCCATGACTGACCAAGCTGGGCCAATCGCGGATGTTGCTGCGAGACGCTCCTTTATGAGTAGTTCATCCTTGACGAGCCACAGATTCTCCTCGAGGAAGGAGATTCCGGCACAGAAGGACGTCCAGTCAAAAGACACAGTCCCGCATCGGATCCATGTTGCCGAAGCGCCCATGATTATCTCCTGAATGATTCAGAGGCGGTACCAGTACGGACGCTTCATCAAGTCATGCATTGCCAACCAGCAACCGTTTCCAAGGTAGTCGGGATCACTCCGCAAGCAGGCTTCAATTTGGCTGCCACAGTCAGTTTCGCTGAGAGCGGAGAGGTCGCGAATAAGCTGGATAGCCGAGCTGCTTCGGAAGCTCGGCTCTCCCAACCACGCAATCACGGCCCACGCAGATCTATAAATGTCGCGCATCCTACGCAGTTGCCGCGCACGCTCGCCGCCCAAGTCTTGCTGGTTGATATAGATGGCGTCGACCTAAAGCTTAAAGCCGTCTTTAAACTCTTTATGTAAAAACTTTAATTATTATAGTTTATAATAATGTAGATTTAATAATACTTTTTTATAGCTATATTTAGCTTAGCTAATAAGCAAGGGCCTAATATTAATACTTAAGATTATAAAGCTATTAACTTTATGTAGATATATATTAAAG